CGTAGCGCGCTGCCCCGCCGGGATCGCTCTCCGGCTGCGCGGGCGGACACGCGTGGGGCCCCTCCGGGCCGCTCGGCGCGGTCGTGGCGCGGCGGCCCTCCCGCGAAGGGCTGTGTCGTTCTGTTTCGCCCCGGCCACGCGTTGGTGAGTGACCCAAAAGTTAAGCAGCTTCTGGCTGTCGGATCTCCACGGACAGAGGTGGGATCTCGCAGCTGCGGTAACGAGCCGAAGCTGTTGACTCTCTGCTTTTGCCGCTGCTGCCAACATCTGAGCGCACGCTGGACAGATTTCCCTAAAATACACAGAAAGACGAGCTCCTTTGGGACCCCACGGACACGCCGCTGCACGAGGGTCCGTTTCACAGTCAGCTCCGTGCGTGGGAGCTCCCTGCAGGTCGGGTACCCGATTAGATCCATGTATTCTTATTTCATACTTCCAACCAAGTGTTGATGTTTTGTCAGAGCGAGTGACACTGGGGCTGGTATGAGCCAGAAACACAGAGCATGAGCTTTCACCTCAGAATTAATCGTGCATCAGGGGGAAGCTTCCAGTCAAGCACTGCTGTCCTTTCCCTGTCACCTGTTTTACTTGCCCCATGAAAAAGACAGTGTGTCCAGTTCCACAGCTGATCCCATTTCCTGGTGTGCCCAGGTGAAGCCGTTTGGCCTTGGCTTTCTGGCTGGGCTGTGATGACCAAGGACTGGTTAAGAATACAAGTGTCCTCAAGAGTGTGGTTTGGATGTCCGTGATGTAGCTGGTGCCATGTTGCTCTCAGTTGCTCTTAATATGGTATTCCTGGCTAATGCAGTCAAAAGTTTGGAAAGATCCTCTTGTCTCCTGCACAGAAAGATGCTCATGACCTTCCTTTGGTGACCCATGTGGCACCCGAGGGGATGTGCCCGGGGACGTGCTGAGCCAGAATTTTTCTCAGGCCATTCTGGAGATGGATTTTTGTGACTTGAAAGAAAATTGATGTCACTTAGGGAAACCTCTGTGGGACAATTGACAAATTTTGCCTTCTTGTGGCCATCACATGAAGCACAGACCACAGATCACTGCAGTTTTGATTCTTTCAGTTTTGTTTTTTGTGTGTGTGTGTGTGTGAATTGAAAACAGGAAGTTAAATCAGATTTCAGTCTGTACTGTTGGCTTTATGAAAAATTAGGGTTCAGCTTCTTTTAATTTGCCTTATATTATTTTTTATATAAGTCTGAACAATGCTTAGCCCAACGATAGTGCATACTTGTCAGGTTTTATCCCCATTCTCATTATATTGGGCAAGGGGTTTCATTTTTTTTAACATTTCCACCCCAGTGATTCCAGAATAAATGCTGGGCACTGAGGGCAGCTTCCCATGCTGAAAAGCAGATGTGAAATAAAACACTCAGTTTATTTTTCTTAGAATCATAAGTTAATAGACAAAGCGTGTGAGGTCACGTTTCAGTTCCTGCTCTCCATTACCAGAGGTTTGAAGGACTGTGTCCAGAAGGAAATGTCTTCAGGGCCTGTGAGATGCTGTTCTGAGTTAAAAGGTTAGGCTCCCTTAGTTCCTGTAAATAAGACCTTCCTCTGGCAGAGGTTTTTGGCCCACCAGGAATTGAGTAATAAATGAGGAAATGGAGTATTGAGTACAGTTTTTAACTTCTCATATTCATGAGAAAATAACTGCATATGTATCAACGTAATAAGAATAAGCCTAAAATGGGTCTACCAGTGAGGGCCTCTTGCATAGAAGTCAAGACTAAAGACTTTTTCTTTCAATATCTGCTCATAATTTTGGGAAAGAACATTACATTGTTACTGTGAGGAACTTCAGGTCAGACATATACCTTGGAACTATGAGCACTAGAGCATTATTAGAGTTCCTAACAATCCTTGCTAAAGATTTTCTGACAAAAAAAAACATGTATTAGTGAAACTAACAACTTCACACTTAGTTGTGGCTCCATACTATATGGACATATGCACATGGACACTGGCTACAGCTTCTGGTTAACCAAGACATATATTTTGACTTGTTCCCAAAAAAGCTATGGAAAATGTTCTACTTAGTGCTTAGAGCTACAAAGATGATTAAGGGAGTGGAACATCTCCCTTATGAGGAAAGGCTGAGGGAGCTGGGTCTCTTTAGCTTGGAGAAAAGGAGACTGAGGGGTGACCTCATCAGTGTTTACAAATATATAAGGGGTGAGTGTCAGGGGGACGGAGTTAGGCTTTTCTCAGTGATGACCAGTGATAGGACAAGGGGTAATGGGTGTAAATTGGAGCATAGGAGGTTCAAGGTGAATATCCGAAAAAATTTTTTTACTGTAAGAGCGACAGAGCACTGGAACAGACTGCCCAGGGAGGTTGTGGAGTCTCCCTCACTGGAGACATTCAAAACCCACCTGGATGAGTTCCTGTGTGATATACTCTAGGTGACCCTGCTCTGGCAGGGGGGTTGTACTAGATGATCTCTCGAGGTCCCTTCCAGCCCCTAAGATTCTATGATTCTATGATTCTATGATAGTGAAAAGGAAAATTATACAGAAAAACTGTATGAAAGTTGGGGGAGTCTATAAAGAAGAAGACTTCTCTAAAGAAGTCGGGAGGATAATGTGATCAAGACAGAGGGGAGATTAAAAAAAAATACATTTCTAGATCAGTGAGGAAGTGAACACAGCAGTTGGAAATAAATACATACAAGACACAGGAAAAAGGCAAACCTAGTAATTATTACAGGTTATAAAGCATAAAAAATGGATGAGAACATTAAAGGAGTATGCATGGTTGGTGGTTTTAGGAATGGCTCTAGTTGTCTAAACTTTAACACTATTATAGGCCTATTATATCTAGATTTAAAATATATGTTACAGTTGCTACCAAAAAATAGAACAGTTTAAAAAGTAAATTTGTTCTATACTTTGTACCATATGACAATGACTTAAGTGACTTGCCGGTCATTAATAAGAAGGATATTAAACAACTTTTCTTCAAGAGAAACATTTTAAAGTACACGTGTCCTGAAGAGCTTGAATTTGAGAGTCCTTAGGGTGTTTGCATGTGTCTCAGGATCATGATCTCAAGAAGCATGACACCATATTAAATTTTAATAAAGCTTAAATTATTGCAGAAATTCTGCAAGACATGAACACTGACTATAAGTATTCAAATTGAACAAGTGAGAACACAGATAATGATAGTCTGATTTATCTAACATCAATCACAGGCAGTAAATTCTAATACAGGATGCAATCAGGAATTACACGGTGGAAATGTAGCAGCAGCAGCTGATGTAGCTTTAAGGGAAAAATAGTTTAATAGAAGTTAAATTACAAAGTTGCTCACAAGGGTAATGGTGCAGATAGTTTCTGGGTATTTTTCTGGAAAGTCAACATTGTATTTATTCTGTGGAGAAATCTCGCTTTGCCTGGGTCAGATGTGGGGTGACCGATGTAACTCAAATGGAATTATCAGTCTGTGGAGATTGATAGAGAGGATTGTGCAGAAATCAAGAGTAGGATTGATGCTATTTAGGATTTGTAGTAATTATTAGAAAGTCCATGTAAAATCTCTGTGACTAAAAGC